CTTACAAGGTCAGTTCGGTTGTTTTCCAGCTTCTGGAGCTCTTCCTACGCAGATGATGCAGACTGAGCCATGACCAGTTAATTCAGAGACTCCGACGGAGGCTGAAGTCCGAAAAGCGATCACAACCCTTAATCGCTTACGAGCTGCTGGCCTGGATTCCTTCCCACCTGCACAAAGGATGAAGTCCTCTCCAGAGCACTATTCTCCATGTTCAAACAGGTCTAGAAGAAAGAGTCCACCTCAGCTAAATGGATTGAACCGAGTATAGGAGAAATATACAAGAAGGTTAGTCGCACCGACTGTGATAACCACAGGGACATTAATCTAACCGTAGTTGTCACAAAATCACTGGCCTCAATTCTCGTTCACCGCCATACTGCGGAACGGGAATCTCGGATTAGGGAAGAGGCAGCAGGATCTTGCTCAGAACGGGGTTGTATAGATCACATATTCACTTTGCGGCAGGTCTTAGAACAGCGTCAAACGTACCGCAGACCGACAATTGATGTGTTTCTCGGTTTCAAGAGTGCGGTCGATTCAGCCGATCGATACATTCTGTTGGAAATACTTATGCGGAAAGGTGTTCCCATGAAATATGTGAACAATTTTACGTGCCCTGTATTCGAACACGAGAGGTCACGTCAAGGTCTACTGTGATTTATCAGATATCTTTCCAACAAGAAGTGACGTTCCTCAGGGTTGTCTGATTTCCCCATTTTTGTTCACTTCCGTTGTGGACTCTACCATGGAGTGTTCGTTTGCGAAATTTCACGATGTAGGCGTTGAGGTGCTGTTTGGTGAAAGTTTAGTTGGTCTAGCTTATGCGGACGATATTGATTGTGTTCTCACGATGTTGGTGCTAGCCAATCGATACTGATTAACCTGTCTAGAGTGGTCCTATTGTTTGACATGCGCATCACACCTTCAAATTGCGAAGTGTTGTTGCAGAAGCACCAGCCACTTGATTACCCCTTGACGCTTGATATCGAGGAACTCGAGGCAGCTGATTAATTCACTTACCTTCGCACCATTATCAGCAACAATGGGCGCATAACGACTGAAGTTTGTTCACGTACTACAAACACCAGAATTGTCTTTTTGAATCCGCGACATCAGTGGCGTGAGAAAGGAGTGTCCATCCGTCTAAAAGGCCATGTATCCAAGTCCACAGTGAGTGTCGTCCTGCTCTATGGAGGCGAGACTTGGCTCCTCCGATCTGAGAGCCTGCAGCGCCTTCAAGTCGTTGATCATCGTTGTCTGCGAAACATTGTTGACGTCGAATGACACCAGCGTGTCCACAAAGATGATGTGCGTGAGTATTAGGAGGTGATAAACGGGATAGTTCCACAGAACAACAGATAGCACTGAATAGGGTGCGTTGGCTTGAGCACGTACTACGTATGCCTGGTCACCGCTTACCGAAGAGGGCATTTTAACAGCTCGAGGTGGACAAACGTTGACTAAGCAGCAGGAGATAAAGTCACAGACGACCAAATTCGGTGTCGTCGGTCAGTCTCGCCTTCCAGACTGGAGTCCAAGTGACGTGCCTTGTGTTTGGTTCGATACATTACAGGAAATGGTTTGCAGTCGGCAGCGGTTACTTGTCTGTTGTCGTGTCCTAGTGGGACTGCTTGTTTCACGTACATTTGGTGCAGAGTTATTTGCGGGTAACTGGTATGTATGACGCGGGTCAGTGGAAAGTGCAAAGAGTCTGTCTCGTTGATACTGTCTTATATTTGCAAGATAGCCAGCTGTTTCTGACTGTATGTTGGCACAAGGTGTAGGCGCCTTGACCCTGTGTTTGTTTAGAGAAGGAAGGTTTTACCGTAGGTCTCCCTTCTCTCCTTCTTACTGTTCTTCGTTTCATAGGCCACCACAGTTGTACGGCAGCGAAGTATCAGTTCAGATAGCTGATGTACTGCTGTTGATGATGAACTACGCTAGCTTGTCTAGTATCCGTCCACTAGTCGGCGTACTCGACTTGAGCGGTGACACTGCGGAGCCTATCGTTGACTGGCATTCTGCGCTTAATCCAATTGAACGAGCGGGCTTGCCCGTGTTTTGACTGATGGCACCGAAACAGCGGTGACGAGCGTGGTCTCTGTGCTGATGACTACCTTGCAGTCTGGCAGAGTCACTACCGTAGTTACCTCACAAATTCGCACAGCTCTTCAGACTGCCAGATGGTTTCCTTAGAAAATTTGACATAAACGGATTCTTTCTCACTGAACAGTCGATCGTTCGCCCTCCGGTCATACTCCGTCTTGGATTTCTCTTGTTTGTTTTCGACACGCGGCCCCTGACCGGAAAATAGGAATTCTAGCAGCGTCCTTAATCTCTATCCGAACATCAAATCACCTGAGTTTTACCCAGTCATTTCTTTTGGCGTGAAGCGGCCGCAGAAAAAAAACTTGTCTAACTTCGTTCGCAGTGGAGCCGGCGGTAATTTTCGTGACACGTTCTTGACCGCTTGGACTGGCCTTTCAGCTAGAGCACTGAAAGTTGGGTGATAAAGTTTGACTTCACATGACGTATGCCGCTGCTTTGCAGAAACTTCTGAAGGGCTTGAGTAATAAGCACAGGGCCAGTGTCTGTTGCCAGCGTGGGTGTGGCATACTGAAGGTACTGAAACACGTCCGCAGGAAAAAAACGGTTGTTTCAGAAGAAACATGTGTTAATGGGAACATTTCAATCCATTTCGAGAAAGTACCAATCAAGAGGAGGTATATTTTCCCATGGATCAGGCCGAGGAATTCAGCGTGCACAGGCCATGATGGTTTGTTGGCCCACTTCCCTGAACTTAGTGGTACCACAGAGGTGGGTCTTGGTGTGCTTCGACAGGCGTCTCGTAGTCGGAACAACTCCTCGATATCACTGCCAATATTGCACCACCATACGTAGGATCGCGCATGTCCTTTCATCCTTGTGATTCCCTGGTAAATTTCGTGTAGCTATTGTAGAACATGTGGCCACAACTGGGGTGGGAAGATAGCTCTGGGTCTCTAGAGTAGACAGCTATCTTTGAGACTAAGCTCGGAGCGTCAAGTAAAGTATGGTAGCAACTGCAGATCAAATTTATCAGGACATCTATGGGAGACTAGATGATCGAGCTTGGCAAGTAGTATGGCCCGTTCGGTTTTTTGATGGATGCCTGCGCTTAGCACTGAGTTTCCACCTAAACGCTAAAGCAAATGAACAAGTTCAGCGGGTTTCAGTACGTAATCGGGTAGATGACTCAACCGTAAGCGACTTACATCGTTTTCCAAGGAACACACAATACTGTATAATAACTGTAGACCGAAAGCAGTAAAGCCCAGCGTTGTATGTGAGGAGATGCCATCCGGTGGATCGTTTTATCGGTGATCAAAGTCAATAAGGGGTTGCGGTCCGTAAAAATTATGAACGTTCTTCAGAAAAGGTATTAGTGAAATTTCTTGATCCCAATGATAAGCGTCAAGGTTTCCTTGTCTGGATGTGCGTAATTTGAGTCTGCTGGTGCCAAGCATCTGGAAGCAATAGCTATGGGTCGTCTTCCCATTTTTGAGATAACAGGGCTCCAATACCTGTGGGTGAGGCGTCGCACCGGAGAGTGATAGTACTCTTTGGATTCAAGTTAACCAACAAAATAGTGTTACTTATAGCGTGTTTGAAAGCAACGTGGGCTTTTTGTTGTTTTGGTAGGCACAATCATCGGGTATTCTTACGTAGTGATACACAGGAAGGCGCAAGAATAGTAGCTAAATTAGGCAAAAAACGGCTATAATGGGCCACCGTCTTGATAAATGATTGCAATTTGTGTATTGGCGAAACCAAAAGGGATTGAATTTTCTCACTTAACGGGTGTAACCAATGTTTGTTCAAACGAATCCACAGGTACTTAACCCTATCGGAAGAAAAGACACTTGGTTTCCTTTCGTTTAAGTCCGCTCTTTTGGAGGCACTCCAAAACTGTAGTGAATGTCGTCAGATGTTCGTAATCTGCACGGCCAGTAAGCAAGATTCCATCCAGGTACGCGCACACACTTCAGGTATGCGCTTTACTGCTTAGAATCCTCTGAAAAATAGCCAGCGCAGAATGTATGCCGAACGGCAACCGGCCATGGTGAAACTCGGTTAACACAGATGCCACAGGATGAAAAGATCTTAGTGCTGGGATGATATGATTGTCACACATGGCAACCGCGTCAGCAATGTAAAAATGCAGGGGATGCGGAGGCAATGGAGAAGGTTGGCACGAAACCCAATCCACAGTACATGAATGTGAGTAGAATGCATGTGATAAATAGTGCGGAACCTCTTTTCGCCTAGGCAACCCAGAGGTGTGTAAAGTAGCTAGGATTAAATTCCGCTATTGTAAGTTTATACAAACCAAGTTAGATTATTTCGTAATATTAGGAATTGATGTGTGAAGTATCAAACGCTCTATTATTTGAAGGGTTAATAATGAACATTTGGTTGTTTTATCTAGTAGGCACCGGGCGCAACATCTGAGAAAATTCGAGTACGAGTGCCGAAAGACAGGACAGGTGGCGGCATGCTTCTCCTTTTCGATGCCGGAAAGTAAATGATCGACTAAAACCAGGAAAAGTGATCAGAATAAGCCAAACGAGTAGTTTTTGGTGGCTGCTCGCCACAATCACCATACGCCCGGGACGTCTATTTTGTCCTACTGAGGTTATTCACTAGCATGCATCCGTGGAATCCTGTTGGACCCAAACCCACAGCTATCCTCTTAAGAGTCAACGACTTAAGCCATTGAAAAACCTCTAGTGAGTACTAACAATCAATCGTGTTCGTTTAACTTAGGGAACAGCGTCGTACTGAAGCCGCGATTAAAAACTGCATCAGAAGTGACCGTACTCAACCATGTCGATGTGAGGAGATTCACTAAGATGTTACAAGCAATAAACTGTAAAAAGCTTTCCAAGTAAAATGAGTGGCAGTGTGGTCCCGTCATTTTGACACTCCTGAGCGGTCGATTCGGTTTAATTATAAAGGCATTTGAGAAGCAGAAGTTCGTTTATTTGCATAATGTTTCTCCGGAGGAAAGAACATGGAACATTGCCGAAAACTGACAATGGAAATAATGAGGTCAGTCAAAAGCACAAGGAGAATAGGGAAAGGGAAGTAAATCTGTGGAGAGATGAATTGGACGCTTTTGTTTGCGTGCAGTGGGACAAAAAGAGGGGTAGCAATGGGCGTCCAGATCCATCAGAACCACAGCTGATAGGCCACTCCAACGCATCCACGAACGATCAAATTGGTGAAAAACAGAGCAGGGTGCATGGATAATACCAAAGGAAAACGAAACAGACGTGATAGCTTCTCTTCAAGCCATATGACTCGATCATGATTTGTTGATCGGGTGGGATGATGAGAGCTCAATGCACCGATAACCAATATAGGGTAGGTGAACGCTAGGAACATGCCGCCACAGCCTATAAAATCAGGCCATCGTTCGTATCCCAAACCGACGAAGAATCCGTAACCAATGAAGTAGGTCCAATGATCCAGAATATGTACCAGAAATCCTTCAAACGTGCGGCCTGTAATGGGTGAAGCATTATGGTCACGTACAGAATCTATTATGCCCAAAGAACTTTGTAATCAGTGAACATCAGGTAATAAGTTCGTCTATAAAGATCAATTTAGTGGGCTCGCATGTGTAAAGGATATACAGGAAACAGCAAAATTAGGCGACAAAAATATTCGGGGATTCATCCGGTTAACGGGTTGGCCAATTGAAGAGTCCGCGTCATTGCAACAAGTAGACAAAAGGACAGACAGATTGAGAAAGAGATGTAATACAAGCGTATAAGCCCACATTAATAGTTTTATGTATATAGATAAGTGAAACAGGATCTAAAAGAAATGGCTAGGGAGCTAGCGAAACAATGAATCGAGCAATAACGACGGTGGTTTATCGAAGCGCTTAGATCGATTGGGGCCAAAGATCGGATCCTGAAACAGAGAGATCGATGGATGTTTTTGCGAAAATTCGGACAATGCGTAACATTTTCATCAATAAGCCCATCTGCACATCTTGCCAATATGTATGGAGGAAGATGAAGAAACACATGGTATGAGAGCCGACCTGCCAGCTTGTGTAACGAACACGTCAGCTCCCTGGGTAGAGAGTGTAGGATCTTAAAGCAAACGTTAAATATGTCGGCATGTACAATAGGCCCTCAGTGGCACAGAAGAGCTAAGACGCTCCTCGTCCTCCTAGTGTTTCGCAGCTGCACGATCCCAAGTGTGTCGCTGAATTGTCCTTTGTAACGGACCTGTTATGTAGTGCTTCCACTTATAGATACAGGCTAAACATTGTTACAAAAGCGTGGTTGTGCAAAGATCCTCAGCTGGGATTAGGACAATACGTTTCAGAAGATACATGATGGTTCGATGACACTGAACAACTCCATTCATCTGTCCATCTAGGTCTCGGAAGGATACAACCCGTTTAAACACCGGTCGGTTCAGCCACAAATTATATTCTATTGAAGGATACCCTAATCCGGTTGACAATGATACCTGTACCTGCTACAGACTGCGCATGACGAGATGCATTTAAACGTACAGCATCAGTTTACAACAAATTTAAACGCGTGCACATTTACAACGGTTGCTCTAGCCTTACAGAATGACTCACTATCGATAAGGCAGTTTCGTGCTTGTCCGTGCAAATGGTTCCAATGTTTTTCGCGTTGGTCAGTGATACATGCGCCTTAACGCATACAAACTAAAAGCCATTGGTATCTTGGAATATTTCGGGAACGATCGGAAGTCATCATCTCAGGAAGCTTGGTAGACGAACGGTTAGTATATTTGACATACAGCACAACGTTTCCCTTTTGACTCGCCTGAAGAAGCATTTGAGTCAAGAGCGAAAGGTTGTGCAGTATAACAAATACATTAACCGGCGTTTTACCAAGCCTTTGAAATAATAGGTGTCATTGGCATGATAGTGTACAGCAAAATATTATCTGCGCCTGCAACTATGGAAATTGTGAGCCGCAAAGAGTTTCGGTGCACAACCAGCAATCTATGGACACTGACATGAAGGCACATATTCGGTTGGGCATGGGGATTGAAAATGGTTGCTACGCCTTAACAACAACAACAACAACAACAACAACAACAACAACAACAACAACAACAACAACAACAACAACAACAACAACAACAACAAATGTCGGGTTGAACAATGATGCAAACCTACAATATCAATCCGTAACACGCCATACGTATTTATTTTTTATCCGTTAAACATGTAATTGTCGCCATGGAAAGAACATCACACGTGTGCGCTAAGGCAGGGGAAAAGTAAGCTGATGATTCCTGAAATGATGAAACGGCCGCACAGTGCTTTTCCGTGCATGTGATGGCTGCCTAAGCGAGTCTACAGACGATGAATTTCCACCTACACTATACACCAGAGACCATAGCTTCTTTTCCATCGGCTGAACTGCGGTTGAATGACCACAATCGTTTACAGTTAGCATTTACTACATATATACGTATACAAATATACAAATATATATATGTGTGTATATATATGAGGTAACAGGAAAAACGGTGTAATGGACTACAACTCTCTTGTGTCCAAAAATGGTGAGTTTACTAAAATATGGTTTAAGAACGTCATCCTGTAGAAAAATTGTTTACGATACAAAAGACAGCAAATCTCTACCACTTAAAATAAGCATAGTTAGGACCACCGCGGTAATAAACGAACACATACCAGGAACTTGACGCCAGCGATATTCAATCGCGTAGCAGGCATACATAAACGCCACAGAGAAGATTTTGATCACCTGACTGATCCTGAAGGAAGAGGAGAGGCTACAAATGACGGTCCACTGAGACAGAGAGAGGGAGGAAGAGACAATACAAAAATCGTCCATATGAGTGCTCGAATGACAACACCACGTGGGCTAAAGGGGGAAGATGACGAGAACTGGTATACTTCACCATTCATAATAGGATGACCACAGTGAAATGAATGCTGCTATGGAGCGATGTTGGGTTATCGAATTGCTGTATTAGGCGTCGATGTGAACGAAACACCCCTGTAATCTAATGTGATAAGATAAATTGTTTGACTATTCTCATGCTAAAAGAATTTTGACAGTGTAAATGAAGGGAGGCGGATCACAAGCGAGTGGTGGGTCTTCACAACGTGAAGTATTAGACTGATGTGGGCAGGTTTGAGACTGTCGTCACAGATAGTGAACGGATGCTAATGGAAAGTTCAAAAGTCTGTGGCTAGTTGGGGATTAGGTAACTCAAGCACTAACGGTACACTGTTGTAACTCGAGAGAATGTGATACAGAATCGATGACAACTGCGTGTCTTACGGACAGAATACTGCGACAGAGCCGAGATCACTGTCTAACGGAGGGTGGGAATCATTGGCAAATTCCCTTTACTGAATATCGGACAATTTCGTGCTTACTTTTGAGACTTTTCCGTTCCCTATCAAGAAATAACACGACAATATGAATGGTGGTTTGAAAATAACTTACACTAACTTTATCGAAGGCAATCCATGCTGTCTCTTTCCTTTAGTTCATCCTGATTAAGTGCACATATATATTCGATGTTGTTCTATTGCACGTTCGTTGGTGCGTCCCAATCCTCAACGCAGCTTGTATCTTCAGTTTTTATTTCCAGCTGTATTGGCAACGGTTTTAGAAATGAACCTCCCTAGCATCCCCTCGCTTCCTTCGTTTTACGGTCATTTCCCTGTATGAAATCGTAACGAGATCACATAGGTCCGTGTACAGCTGGCCTTGTAATGTGGTAACTGTCGTTGATAATGCTGTTTGAGCCGTTTTCGCATCACTCGGTTATCTGCTCTTGAATGGATCCGGTAAGAGATGGGTGTTTAATGAACAATGCTCAATGCACCAGAGATAGTTCACGTGGTGATGATAAAAATTAGTGAACTCAATTGTGCTTCGTACAGTGTTCTGCCGAAGGTACCGATAGCCAGCTGTTGGCGTCACATCGATAGTCACTGACGGTTGCGACATCTCCAGGCTGCAAGGTTCGCCTAATTTGGCAGCAGCCGATTGCTGTCTCCAAACTACACAGATAAATATTGTATGATCACAGCATGGGATGGAAAACAATCGTTTGGACAATGAATATGTGTGGAATGCATATAGATCACTTGAAATATGTACCGCAGTTCCACTGTCGTTCCTCAACTCTGAACTTCAGTAGAGCTCGCATAAATGTGTCCATGAACATCATTTGTTATCCACTGAATTTTGGCTGAAAAGTGAGTGCTCTGACGTATGTGATACCGTATGTTTTTGACAATTCGGGAACAAATGTGATGTGAATTAGATACCATTGTCGGCCACGATAGTCTCCAGAAACTGGAGAGCACATGTTTCCAGTTTGACAATCGCCGCGGTCATAGCGGTTGCATCCATGATCAACATTTCCTGAACGTAGCTACAACCGAGAGGAGAATTTGTCCGTTGTTTGGTCTGACGAAACTAATGTGGTGATGCGCCTGTAGTCTCTCTGGTTTTGACCAGCGCTCAGCTGATTATCAACTGGGCATTTTTTAAACAGTGGCACGTCTAGAGCACTCCACAAATTTCGCACCAAATCAATTCCGAAGACTTAGACCGCCCTTGTGTCACCTTCAGAATGTGGATAGGCGTTGTTGAATGCAACTTACTCATGCACATGTTGAAGAGTTCAATACCATCGATACTGTCATCTCATAGGTTACACTAATAAGCGAAGTGTAGGTCGTGCTTTGTTTGTGCCTATCTGAGATGATCTATCCAGAGTTTAATATATTAAGCAAATGGAGCTTACCGATTTATGCTTTTCTGGCTGTAGTCTTACTTCGATGAGAGATTTGTAAGCCCATTTTCTTCCAGAAGTATATGGACAAAATAGTTATACGGAACGTCGCACCATGTTTCCAATGAAATGTCCGCCGGCTTATTCTGGTAGTTATGTACTCTGGATGGAGTTCCATATCCGTATCAAATATTGCAACCACGGTATTGAATTTGCTTTCAGTCCACCATGATCTTGATCTTCCATTATGACGTCTTTTCCCGGCACGTTTCCTTTTTCGGTATTGACCTTACAACTTATCGCGTCGATTGCACACTGAAAATTTGTGCTTCTTGTTGGGACAGAATTTCACGAAACGCCATTCACCACATTACCAGCACACCGCCACTGGTTTTGCTACAGCGAGAACTATTGTTCAGATCCGACTGGAGTACGTCTTCTTGATAGTGAAAATGGGGTTTGATGTGGGTGCTCCAATATGACTGCATTTGCAATTCATAGGCAACTTGTTGGTGTAGTGCTGTTTAGCTATCTGATTCTGATTGATATCACTGGAGACCACAAATGAAAATTAAGCAGTTGAACTGATTTTCTGTCATGGCAGACAGCTTGAACTGTTCGCATTCAGGACTGGCGCTGCCAGCATAGATGATGAGATCTTTGACTTCTTGTTTGGCTAGTTCCATGTATTCATAGCGTATTAAACAAAGAAGAGCATCCCCCAAAAGTTGTTGAACACTGGTGGAGAGTTCCAATAACGGAAGATAATTTCGTAAAGCGTGTGCTCCTTTGTACTACGATTCCTCAGCGACGTTCTGAATCCCAATGCTTCGGTTCAATATTGGAAAGATCTTAGAATTATTTGAACCACAGTCAGGTTCACAGTGGAATGTATGATACTAACAGTAATTACTTTACTGGAATTTTATCCGGAATTGGAGAGGATTACTTGTTGTTAACATACTTTGAAAGTCTTCCACACTAATCGCTTCTGGTCACTTTCGAACTGAGTATGCTGTTTATGCAAGAGGACGTTCTTGTGTTTTCTTCATCGCATTTGTTATGTTTAAATGTAAGAATTCACCAGCACGCTAATAAACATGAGATCAGCAAGACAAAATTCGGAGACTGTATGCTAAGCAGAAATCTGCAGACGTCAGGCAGTTCGAAAATGATGTTCACTCAATTTGTCGAGACCGATCGATTCTTTCGGATTTGTGGAGTTCATGTTTGATCGAAGCACGCTTTTTAGGGTTACGTTGGTGCTGGTCCGTCAATGTGTTCCATAAATCTACGCAGCTTGATTTATCCATCCTGATTTCCAGTCTTCTTGGTAGCGTTCTAAGAAATGAGCCTATTTAGCAGGAACTTAGAAAAATCCGAGTTAGGTCAATATTCCTTGTTATGTGCAAATAGGGTAATAAGGATAACCACAGTCGAGTGGCAAGCGGCGTAATCCCTGTTGATGAGGACCCTGACATAATGCAGTCGCTCATAAGACATCGATTAGACGAAAACAGGAGAGGAATTCAACAGGCACAAGCACTATGAACGAAATCCGATGGACCGAGCTGAAAGCGGGTCGCTAGCATCAGAGGGCCTTAGTCAATACGCTAGAGGAGGTACTGGTCGTCATGTGAATAAATCAGACAGTATACTTTTGTGGCTACCTTCAGGTGCAATCACAGGCAAAGTAATGCAACCGCAATCAAGCAAATTGAGAGCGTTCGAGAAGATCCAGGCTCTCAGAAAGCGAAAATATGTAGTCAGCTAGGCACAAACGATTCACTAGGTCGGAACGACCCATCGCACGGATGTGAGTTACCAGGTGTTATGCGCTTAGAACGGAAGCACATACATAGATATTACGTGTGCGGGAGTGTCGCTTTCTCAGTGAGTTCGAACCCGCGTGCAACCTTAGTCCTGACAAGTAGGCAGAAGATATCGACTTCTGATCCAGCGGCTAGAAGGTAGGACAATTTCCCAGATCCATGCTGATTTGCAGGAAGCACTTGGCTGCACAAGGCCAGAGGTGAACCCTGAAACAAAAGCCGGATGAAATTGGAGTCCTCATACGTACCCACAATCACCACGAAACTTCACGACATGTCCATTACCCGGGATATTTCAAATACTACAGCGTTTCTGGTAGGTGACGCGTTCTGTGCTGACCCAGTGGCCAGAGTGATAAGTAACCTGAGTACCTCAATCCCCGGAAGTCTTTATTCATTGGATGATGGAATGTCAGAACACTGTTGGATGTCGGCAGCCAAGCGCTGACTATGCACAAACTACATGGTTACCAGATCGATATAGCATGCCTTTCAGAATCTGGAATACCCAGCTTTGACTCGACATATCAAAGTCCCTGGCGTAGACACCTCATACTGGCTTTACCACGGTGGGCGGCGGGATAATTCGGGCAATAATGGGGTTGCCATGGCTCAGTCGCCAGGCACACAACGCTTTCCTTTCATGGAAGCCAGTAGCAGCTGCACGTTTCAAAGGTCACCCAATGAATATGAACATAAGTTCTCTCTACGCAACAACCCCATCCTCAGTGAAAAGGGAAAAAGATGAGTTTTACAATACTCTTCAGACGGTGGTGAACCATGTTCCAAAACGCGACATTCTCATTATTGCTGGGGACGGGAGTGCACGAACCGGGTCGAAGAATGACCAGACCCGTCACATACTCGGGAGATACACCCTTGGAGAGCGCTGTGACAATGAAGACCGCTTGCGCAGCTTCGCCAACCTTAATCGGTTGTGCATAACCAATACTCGTTTCGAGCATCCAGGAAGCATCTTCTGACGTACGGTTAGCCAAATAGAATATATCTAAGTCCGATCCTGGTGGATGTCCTCCATGGATGACTGTCGGGCGTAGATAACAGCTGAAACAGGCAATAAAGATGGTTCGAACTACGTACTTCTGCGCGCTAAGTGCAGACTCCGCGCCGGAATACCCTTCCACCGAAGCCTCACTGGGAAATACTGACTGCTTCCGATCTCTTGAGCCAGCAATAGA